ACTTCGTTTCGGCAGATGATCATTTTCAATTCGCATACCCGTGTAATGCATTGCCCGATACAATAGTAATAATAGAATAAAACTATTTTTAACGGATTTTATCGCGTCTATTTACTTATTTTCACTTCCTGACGTTTTGGATGCATTGCATCACCTATGGTCACGGGGAGGACTGAGGTGATTAACGTCCCGATGTCAAAGTTCACCGGTAGGCGTATTACGTATCTTGCAGAAGGCTAGCGATAGCGAAATTAGAACAATAATTGCTTATAATTCGCAGATTCGTATTATGTATCAGCGATAACCAAGCTAACTAGCGACAGCGCTGCCTTGTGGTCGCTAGTTAGCTAGGGCTTGTTTATCGCTGGTACAAAAATACGAATCTGAGATTTATCAGCAATTATTGTTCTAATTTCGCTATCGCTAGCCTTCTGCAAGATACGTAATACGCCTACCGGAGTATTTTCAGCTTTTTAATTATTACTTTTGGTTCGATAAATGCAAAATGAGCTTACTGTGTCTTGAGGTTATGGTTTAGTTTTAATTTTATTAATTACAGGATTCCAAGTAGGTGGCAGTGCCCATCCTCCTTTTATTTTAAAATTAGGATTTTTTTTTTATTTCAATAACCTTACGTATCATACTTGGTAGGAATCGATGTTCGTACGCGAGGATTTGTGGTCGGCCAAATCTAATGTATTTATTTATTTTTACTTTAATCAAAAGGTAAAACGGTTAAACAAATTACATTAATTAAAGACAACATATTTATTATTCTCGCTCATAAAACTTCTGGCATTGCAACAATAATTACCGTTCATTCATGCGCAAACAATTCGCATTCAGGATTTGTGTCCAGGAGAGCGTTAAGTGCGGTGAGAACACGGGGAACAAGCTTGTTGGCGCGCTCAACAGTGCATGCCTATTGCCTATGGCGCGGCAATAACTTTATGTTTGCGATTAAGACATTAGTTGTTTGGTACAAAAGACACAGTTCGGCACTCAGGTCTAGAGCGTCTATCTGCCTGCGAATTATATTACACGCCATGGCTTGTTGATACGCTCGCCGTACTTGCAATGAGTTGTAAGTTGTAACTCAAAGAACCGAGGAGAAATTTAGTGGGATATAAATATGGATAATATCCATAAAGGCGCTTGTAAAGATATCTTAAAAAGACCAAAAGAAAACAGTTGCTTTCATACGGATTCCAATCACAACAACTATTTTTGATTTTCGGGCGTACGAGAGCACTGAATATTGAGCGTATTACGCTATCTACGCGACTCTTTAGTATTTCTGATAACAAATATCAGGCGTTTGTATGGTTCCTTAGCTAACGTTATTATGTGAGCGTGTATTACCCCAAGGTCTTTTATATTGTCAGTCCAAGTAAAAACATGATTGTTGATTTTACTTGCTAACGAAAATGGAGTTTAATGGAGTTTAAATAAAAGGTTAAAGTACATTTTATTTTTAACACCACTAGCATGTACATCACTGCATTGCCACGCAATCGGCTACTGATTTTGTCTCCGTCAACAATTTTAAGTCATCTGAGTACAGCAAATATTTCGAGTGTAGGACCACTGCTGGAAGGTCACTTATCATAATCAAAAAGAGCAGAAGGCTAAGAGTCGATCTCTGACTGACACTTGACCGCTTGTGATAGAACTCGTATATACCTAGCCTACATAGTGCTAGCGATCGCGAAGGTGGTTTGCGATTTATCGAAGAAGACCTGGGGCAAAGCCTATGGCTGCAAGCATATCAAGAAGCTAGTCATTATTAACCCTATCGGAAGCCCTTCGAATATCAAAATAGAGGAGATTAACAAGTCAATATGCGCTGACTGCTGACATGTAATCCACAAGATTCAAGAGATTTATGTGCACAGAATTTTTTTGCTTCGGAAACCGTGTTGCTCATTGCGTAAGCACTTTACCACCTGCGCGAATAAGTACCTATGCAAGATTTTTTTTTGCCGGCGATTACAAAATTGCAATTGCTCGATATTCTTCAACCAACGCCTTGTTCGAGCCTTTTGGTATGGTTGTTACTCCGGACAACTTCCATTGTAGAAGATAAATTCCAACTTTAATACTAGGTTGAATATATGACAGAGGGGACCACACAACCTTTTTGGCACTTTTCATTATATAAGGTGGTAAATTATCTGGGCCTATAGCACTATCGGCTTCAACTTATTTATATTGCAATAATAACGTAAGCAGGCGTAACCATCGTCACATTTATTATATTACTATTATTGCACTAATCCAAGATGTTTACGTTAGCTGAATTTCGTTCAGGAGTGTCTGGTAAGAATACACTGGCGAAATACTTTGCAAACGCCTCCGGCCACCGCTGCATTTGGCCCCGAAAATATTGTACTTTGTTAGGTAATATAATAGTTTCAAAATCACATTTAGATCGCAAAATCGAAATGTGTTGCCTAAATTTACATAGATTGACTTTAATATCAGATTCTATCCGTTCTATGTACTTTTTATAGGCCGAAACAATGCGAGATTTGAGTTCTGCTTTAAGATTTGAAAACTGACGTTAAGTTTATTCGGAATACGTAAGTTTCAAAGCGGCCTGTAATTTTAATCTTGAATAATTTTACTCGTGAACTAGACTGGATAATATAGTCTATCTAAGCCCGATTTTCGTTGTTTCTTTGGCATACATAAATCAAAAATATTATAGATAGCATTATAGAAATGTTGAGTAGTGCAACGTACATCTTGAGACTCTAAAACACCGTGCCACGAGACTTCTGAAAGTAAGCTAGCCATTAGTTTGGTAATGACACTTCTTAAAATTCCAATCATTTACTGGATCCATATTAATCGGTTCCATAAGATCAGAATGACGCGCTGAGTCAAGTCTTACGTTAATGTTCAAAGGTGGAACGACAATTATCTTCGAAAAAGTGACATTTACACGTGCTATTGCTTTCCTGGGCCAATACTACATCTAACATACCTCCATGCAAATTTAATACTACAATCTTCTCACACAAGCTACAGAAAGGCGAAACTAACAATAATAATTGTTGATACCTAGGGACGCGCTCTTAAGATTTAGGTCGCCTAGTATTACAAATTGTCCTTTTAGAACGTTTATGAAACTTTGGTGAGCCAGTTCAATATATTCACTATCACTAGGACTGGGTTTGACGTATACATAACACAAACAAAGACGGGATTGCCATACCACGAAAAACATGCCCACACATCTTCTCCGTAACTTGTCTCAAGATCATGCCGCTTGGTGGGTGAGCAGCAAAAAGGACTCCACCACAAACTGTTGGTCTCTAGTGACGTATAATGTTCCAGTCCCCTATATTTATTCAAAATCTTCCAGAGAGTATTTAAGGAAGTGTTGAGATACTGCAATAGAGTTGTGTTGAAGGGCAACTGTATTATTACGCCAAACTTTTAATTTTTTGATAAGGCCTCGAATATTCTGGTAGAGAATACTGAGGTTGCTGATTTTAGCACTCCGTCGCTGAGCTGTAGGGATGTTAGTTGCCTCCCGAGGTTGCTGTTCCTCGAAAGCGCGTAAGGTTTAATCTAGCATTCACTGGGCAGATGTCAACAGACAAGCATGTCTCGAAATAAGTGACGGGAACGCGATCTTAAAAGATTTATAATGCCTCATATGATTAGGCTCCTCCACCGTGCATGCTCCATCAGGGCATAGCTGACGCGGATAATTGCGGACTTCGTCAGCACTAGACTCCATATTCCAAAGATATGTGTTTACGGGCTTCGACAGCTTTTAGCGATGTTACAGCTGGCCCTTGCAGTACCACATAGTGATGGTGCCGACGATTTTTTTTCTCACCTCAGTCCATTTTTGGGAATAAGCATCTAAGCCAGATTCACACTGAATAGATGACAGTTCATATACGTGCAAGACGCTAGCATCTGAATGCCTAGTAATGCAGTTTGTCTTGGGTTTAGACTATCCTGCATGTTTGGTTGATTGCGCTAGTAATGGTGGTGAAGTATTTTGTATTGTCTTCAGACCCTTCTGGTCATGCTTCTTTATATTTGAGGCTGCAACTGGCAGTGGCACGAGCGAAGGCGCTTTAACTACGTGACATGATGTTGTTGTGGTTGCTTCTAGTGGGACCTCCAGTAGTCTAATTTTACTGTGAAGTAGGCACTTATCGCCGAATATCGAGGGCTACGTTGCCCATGTAGAGGCCTACATGGGCAACGGGGCCCTCGATATTTGAACCGTACCTTAATATGTGAGATATTGCATTGCTGAGTTGATCTTTTAGAGACAACATTTCAGCACCTAAGCTGCGATTTTAACACGCCAGATGGATAGCGTTATCCTGTTTTTGAACATTATTCATCTTCATCATATTAAATATAAAATGCTTACCCATTTAAACTATTTATAATTACAAGGTAATTTGCAAATTATAGTGTGGCTCTTGCCATTATCATGTAATTAATAAAATTAAAACTAAACCAAAACCTCAAGACACAGTAAGCTTATTCTGTATAGATCGAACCAAAAGTAATAATTAAAAAGCTGAAGATACTCCGGGTTAATTTTGACATCGGGACGTCAATCACCTCAGTCCCCCCCGTGACCATGGATGGGTACTGGCAAAGCACCCGAAACGTCGGGAGTTAAAAATAAATAAATAAAACGCCATAAAAACATGATAAAAACCGTAAAAATAATTTTATTCAATGTGTAGTGTTTGCGTAATTATAAGAAATCACAATAGTAATGAATCTGAAAACAATTATACTAAAAATAAACTTAGCGGTCGGAGGAGGAAGTCCTATGTTATTTAGGCATAAACACTGCCGCACGTCGTTAATGATTTGGAGATTTGGGATTTATTTTTATTATACCTTCAATATTTTTCAGACATTTTCCTTAATCAACTACTATTAACCTTCACAGAGCTACTCGTATATGATATTGACTAAAACTGATATATTTCATAATGCTTTATTTTCAGAGCCTAATGATGAAAGTGGAGCCAACGTAGATGCAGCTAAAATGTGGAGAGAAGATCGTGAACAATTTAATAAGATAGCAGAGAAACTTGTCAGAAAGACGTTAGGCCTACCATCTCCTTAGGATTTTTGTGGCTTGTTAATAAATTTAACTGTAAATGTTTAAATAATGAATGCTCGGCAATTTTAGTAACTTTTATTCTATGTGTTATCAATATTAATCTTATTATAATAATGGCTGGACATTTGTCCCTTGCTTCCGTTATATTATTAATGATGATTGTAGCACACACTATTGAAATATTTCTAGTGTGGTTTTTTAAATTTTATTTAATAATAATAATAATAATGTTTTTTTTTTATAAAACAGTAATTGTATGCTCTGAAAATATATGATGCGAATTTGTATCTTGTAAATAAATGTGTTTTAACAAATACAATGTTTTTGTAACTAATTTCTTTTATAAAAGCTGTTTTGACGTATTTTCAAATCAAAAGTTAATTTAATAAGCAAATAAAGTACTCTTATTTAAGTATACTCAATTATACACATTTACTTCTAAAGTCACACCTTATGCTACTCGTGATATTTTTAGTAGTATACCTTACCTTACACTTGTTTTAGAAAAAAATGAGCCAATCGCTTGCACCACATATAGTGTTGTTGCGCGACAATTAATACATGGTACCTATATGGCGACATTAGTTACCACTAGTGCCCTCTAGTATCGATTAACCGAACTAGGAGAGTCAAGAACATTCTAGAAATTTCCATGGAAGAACTTTCTAGAACTACGACACCTAGTCAATCGGGATCGATATGTATTCGAACATTTTAGAAGTTTCTACAGTGGAAGGGTCTGGAAACTACCTGAAGCCCTATATAAGGCCGGTATAGACCGCTGCCGAGTCTGCGCCCCCTTTCCCTAAAGGGTGTCGCTTCCGATACGGCAGAAAGGGCCAAAGCCATTGCCACAGGTTGTGTTTAGTAGATAGGCACTTCATGGTGAGTCCCACATAACCACGCAGCCGGCTGTGTGGTATGCTACGAGCATTCACCACCTCTCTCCCCCGCTTCCCGGAGGGTAGCCCCTTGTTTTGAACGCAAAAAAAACGACCGAGTCAGTATTGAATTGGCGATACAAGCGAATACTTCGAAGCGATACAACTGCGAACTAAGTGATTGTGATTTATTATTATGTGGTTTAAAATTGTAATTTGTGTTCTGTAATTAAAGTGTCAATTTTGGTAATTCAATCGGCAGTTTTCAGTTGTCTCGAACCCCAAGCTCATTACAGTATTGTAACATAGTCAAATGCGAACCATCATTTTTTCATAAAGATTCTACATTTTGTTTTATGCAAATTTAATATAGATAAAATAGTATATCTATTATGTAAGTAATAAGTATAATTAATCTAACGTATATACATATATATAATATCTAAGTAATAAGTATAATTTAAACGTGACAATTTACTAAGTGACATTTTTTATTCAATTACCAGCTGATATCAGCCGCGTTGCTTGATATATTAACAAAGTTTTCGTATGTGCGAAGCAAAAAGCATCAGAAAGATCGCAGGCAAAAATATACTTTGCTTACAAAATTTCTTTGTAAACAATTTTATTCGTTGCTCCGTTTGTAGGTATAACATATAAATTACCTAGGTTAGTAACGCGAGAGGAAGCGACATACAGTTGACCGTGTGAAAAACATCGTAATAAAATTGTTATTTCTTAAAACTTTGATAACTTTATGTTAATTGAAGATATCGCAATATTTTTTATAGATAAGGGCAGTGTCTAAGATTTAAATCTAACAGAAATCTATCCAGTAGTTTATCCGTGATGCGCGCACAACTGCAAACCTCGATCATTTTATTTATATACATGAGCTCAGTCGTTCTAACGCCCGGTTTCTGAAGTTCCCAGTCATATTCTCATTAGCTATTGATTCAATAAATCAATAAAGTTATGTTTAAGATAAATAATATTGGTTAGCTGTTATTGTGTTTCTGAATACACAATGTAGCGTTCAATAACTGAAACCGACAGTCAGTACCATAATCTGCTGCTAGATGCCTTTCATTAAGAAATCAAATTTTTGTACTAATTTTATATAAAATATTATTTTTCGAGAATACATTCGTGACTAAAGACTACTATAGTTAGAAACTTATAGAATACTAGCTGACCAGGCAGACACATTTTGACCATATTTTGATCAGGTCAAATTGTTCGAAGTGCAATCATGATCATGTGGTATCATGCCAATCATTATATTGCCTTAATTTAAAAACTGCTGTGCTACCATCAAACTTAATGACTTACGCAATCTTTTTGTACAAATTTCGATCTTGTTTATGATAAAGCGAACATTAGTCAATCTAGAGTCCGTCAATCAGCAAATCAAGGTCGACTGGTTTAACTACGAAGACTCGAAGTCAATATTTTATTCATTATTGGGATCCAGGGTGAGAGAATTTATAGCTGACAACGCTATTGACGATCCACGAAGTCTGGTTTCTATGAACATTCTAATCTATCCTATTTGATAAGTCCATGGAAATACATGTACTTCGTGACACAGGTCAGTGATGTCAAGGCATAAAAGCGTAATGACATTAGAATAGATTGGCAATGCAAAAGAGAAAGAGCAAGGTGTACGCGTATGTTGGAGTGAATCTACTACTTAGTCTGTATTGGAGTGACAAAGATAGGCTATAGACCATTCACGGTTAGGGTTGCCATCTCCTAAAATGAAAAAGCCGGACTCGGTGCTCCAAAAAGCCGGACAGTAATTTATAACCAAACATACCTTTCTGAGGACATGCAGCCAAAAAATTCACCCACTCCAACCCCTCCAGAAAATACACTAAAATACTCCGTTACATACGTTAATTGTTTATTAATCAATCACAGCACAGTTTCAAGTGTATACGTTACTTATTTATTTATTCTGCAAGCGATGCGTGCAACGCGTTACACTAACAAAAAGCCTAACAAAAGCAGGACAGGCCGAACACAACACAATCGTGGAGCTGGAAGAAGAGATAGACAAGTTACGCTGGCATATTATAGGATTATCCGAAGTCCGAAGAGAGGGGGAGAACACGGTAATCCTGGAATCCGGCTATACGTGGTAGAGCCATGCTGCAGGTATATTAATAGTATAGCTGTAGCAGGAATGGGTCGGCTCGACCGGGGAAGGACCACGGTCTCACAGAATACCAGCGTAAAATAGCAGCTTAATGCTGCTGTGTTTCGTATGGTGAGTGTAGAGAAGCGGAGACCCTTTTTACTGGAAAAGAGGCATTCTATCTTAGTTCTCACGGGTGACAACGCATCTGCATTTTAATTCGCAAACGAAGATGGATGTAGATATCTATGGGCCACAGCAACCACTTACCATTAGGTGGACTGTGTGCTTGTTCGTCACCCTTATTCTATAAAAAAAAAACCCGGCAACTTGCTCTATCACCGGGAGGGCGATCAAGGAGGTGTGGGATTTATCGTCCACAAGTCTCTCGTTAACAACGTTGTAAAGATCGAGAGTGTGTCGCCGAGGGTTGCGTACCTTATACTCAGAATCACCAAACGGTATTCGCTTAAGGTCAAACAGGTTTACGCACCAACCTCCGCACACCCCGATGAGGAGGTGGAGGAAATGTATGAGGATATCTCTAGAGCCATGCATTCCTCCAAAATCCAATATACGGTGTTAATCGGAGACTTCAATGCAAAACTAGGCACAAGAGAGAACGGTGAGCTGAAAGTAGGGAAATTTGGAATAGGACAACGGACAGCAGCTGGCCGACTTCATGGAGAAAGAGGTACTCTTTATGATGAACTCTTTCTTCCAGAAGCGGCCCCACAGGAAATGGACCTGGTCGAGCCCCGACGGTTCCACAAAAAATGAGATTGACTTCATTATGACGACCAGACGACAACTGTTCAGTGATGTCTCCGTGATCGCGAGGGTGAAAACTGATAGCGACCACCGAATGGTTAGAGGCACACTGAACCTAAACGTTAAGTTGTAGAGGTCTCGTCTAATGAAGTCAACGCTCCGTCACCCCCGTGCTCTGTTCCAAAGTCCTGAAACCTGTCAGCTCGAGTTACAAAACCGTTTTCAGTGCCTAGAAAACTGCAATGACGTGGACGATATGAATGACAAGCTAGTGGAAACTGTCCATGCGTTCGGAGCTAAGTTCTGCAAGACCCGCCGCAGAAGAACACAAAAACTCTCCGATCACACTCTTAATCTCATGGCTGTTAGACGGGAGATGAAGCTACATTCTTAAACAGATTTGACAGCATACAGGCAACTGAACAGACAGATCTCCAAATGCATGCGGCGGGACTTACGCAACTTCAATACAGCTTGTAATGAAGAAGCGATCAAGCGGAACCAAGGCTCCAAAGTCTTTGCCAGAAAGAGCCAACTGTCAAAGCTGAGGACCGAGTGTGGCAGCATCGTTTCCGGGGCACCTGAGATTTTGAGTGAGATTGAGAGGTTCTATGGGCAGCTGTACACGTCATCGTTGGAGCCACACGCAAGTGTGAGTGACGATCCAAAAGCGAGTCTTATCCGACACTATTCCGAAGATATCCCGGAGGTCAGTCTGAGCGAGATTAGAATGGCTCTCCAGCATCTTAAAAACGGCAAGGCCCCAGGCGAGGATGGAATTACAGCGGAGCTTCTGAAAGCGGGTGGAAAACCGGTACTTGAAGTCCTTCAGAAGCTCTTTAATTCCGTCCTCCATGGTGGCATTACACCGGAGGCGTGGAGCAGAAGTGCGGTGGTCTTGTTCTTCAAGAAAGGTGACAACGCTCTCTTGAGGAACTACAGACCGATTTCCCTTCTGAGCCGCGTCTACGTGCTGTTTTCGAGAGTAATTACGAATCGTCTCGTACGCAGACTTGACGACTTCCAGCCTCCCGAACAAGCCGGTTTCCGAAAGGGCTTTAGCACCATAGACCACATCCATACCCTTCGGCAAGTTGTACAGAAGTCCGAGGAGTACAATTTGCCACTATGCCTGGCGTATGTGGACTATGATAAAGCCTTTGATTCCGTCGAAATTTGGGCGGTGCTGCAGTCCCTTCAGCGGTGCCAAG